CTTGAAAAAACATATATTTAAGAACTCTCAAATCTCTATAAGCCCCTATTCTAAGCTGGTTCAAAACACTCTCAAACCAAATATTTACCTCCTCTATAACATGCATATGGCCCAACATCCAACTTTTACCAATAAATCCATTTCTAATACACTTAATTTAATTACATCTCAATCCGATAACAACAAAAATTTATAAACAATTCACACCTTAACTTCAAACTGGCACATAGGCAAAATAACAAATAAATCCAACTCATTACTACTTTTTCAAAACTACCAAATTATCAATTCAACATCCAACACAATTTGCATTTCTCTTACATCAACAATGATTCAAATCAATTACAAAAATACTATTAACTTAAAATGTAAAACACAAAAAAAATAACAACACTTTGAGCTTAACATCAACAACCAAGAAATTCAAACACATTAAAATATTCACTTAGAGCTCTACAAACCAGTTCCCCAATCTTTACTCTCTCTCTCAATACCTTCTTCAAAAATTCTTTTAATACAAAATACAATACCTAATTCTATCTACCAAATCTAACTCATCGATCTTCATAAAAAAATCCTATTGCTGGAACCAACTAATCTAAACTTCTATACAGATGCTTCTATATTCAATTCACAAACAAATAACATCTCAACAGGCATTGTTTTGATCCTTGAAAAAGATATACAAATCAAATTTAATGCTTCTATAGCTTATGCACCAAACTCTATATGAGCAAAATTAGCAGTACTTATTTCTCTATTTCTTATCCTACTTGCCAATTATCAAATTCATATACACTTAGACAGTTTATTCACTATTCAAACACTCTCCAATACACTACTTTACTACTACAAATTACAAACTAAACAAATAATTGGAATATTATACATATATTCAATTATTTAATAAAACTTAAAAATATTAATTATACTACACACAAAATTAAATTAAATTCAAAAACTACTTTATACAATATAACTGATTCTATTGCCAAATAAGGTGCCAACAAGACTAAATTAAAATTTAATCTTGATCACTTTTACCTACCTACTTATTTTTCTTAGAATGAAATTTCAATCATATATAAACTATGTAAATTTTGTAAAAACCTAATTTTAATACAAACATTTAACAAAATTCTTCAACTCAAATCACTACAAAACCTTCCAACTATAAACATTTTATTATTAACTGAAATTATTAATTCCCAAAACTTCAATCTCAAACTATATTCTATTAGAAACAAAATACTTTTCAATAATTTATCTACAATGTCAAATCTTTATACCCACTATTCTCTTCTCTATTTAACTTCAAATTATTCATATTGCAATCAATATGAAAGCACTAAACATTTATTCCAATGCTTACTTCATTTCTACAATCCACAAAACACTCTCACTAATAAAATCTCAAATGCTTTAAACTCTCTAAACATTAATTCAATATAATAATACAAATTCTTATTACACAAAACACTTCTCTCAATCTAAATATATATAATACAATACTATTACTCATTCAGGATACAATAACCCTTAATCAATACAATCAACTTCAACTCACTCTAAAAATACTAACTAACAATTTTCTTTTTCTTTATCTAACTCATTACTTAGTTGGTTTAACTCTACTATCTGGCAAACCCATAATACTAAACAATATGAATGGAAATTATTATAAGGAATTACATCTTCTACTAAAAAGAAAAACAATATTAGATTACCTACTTCTCAATATACAAATTCTAACAATATTACTTTCACTTTCAACACTGATATAGATCCTTTTATTTCCAAAACTCTTACTCAAAACTTCACTATACATACCTGTTTTTACTAATTAAAAATCTTAAGGATTCCTTTTATTCTCTCTGTAGTTAAGTTCATATCAATTAACTCAACTAAAAACAGAAAGCTAAAGGATAATATCACACTAGATAATGTAGTATATAATAACAATAGTGTAGTTTAGGAATAATATTTTAGTTATACATCCATATCCAATTGATATATAAATGTATTCTTATTTTTTCTACTTAATATTATACAAATAAAAAAAAAAAAAAATTTAATTTAAATAAGTAATTTTCTTTTATTATAATTTTTTTATATATAATAATCATAGTTGAAATTTTGCAAATTTATATTAAATTATTACTACAATTATTTTATAGTAAACCAATTAATATTACTTAAAATAATATATAATTTTTTATTAGTTTTTTCTTTTTTTACTAAGAAAAAACTTAACCTATTCCAGAAGGTATAGATAATTTATTCTATACCTATGGGGTATAGATACCTTATCCTGTACCTAGAGGGTACAAATTATTTAATTTATACCCTATATAACTTGTATTACTGTTACAAAAATCTATTTTTAGACATGTACATTTTGTTTTATAACAATAAGTATTGATGTCTAATTAAAGCTTAACTACTTTATCATATCAACTACAAATTAATGACAACTTTGAAAATCATGATGAATTTGTTAATAAAATTAAAAGTTATGCATGTAATCTTGGTTTTACTATTAGATTTGAAAAGTCCAAATATCACAACAAATCTGAAAATAAAGAAAAGACTGTTCAAAAAAGAATGTTACTGTGTTCTCAAGCTGGTTTTGCTGAATTAAAAGAATCTAAATCTAATAATAAAATTTCAAAATAAGAATGAAATCAAGTATCTTAATGCTGTGGTTGTTTTTTTATATTCATGTTTCTTTAAATAACTTAAATAAGTTATAGCAAATTATTAATATAGATCTTACTCAAAATCATCTAATGGTCAAAGAAAATCATAGATTTTTTATATCTAATGAGTGAAATATTCCTGATGATGTCAAATAGTGGATAGAATTATTATGTTGAGCTGGTGTAGATGTTCCAACAATATGTACAATATTAAAAGAAGAATTTGGTAATTATGTTACATAGATATATAACAATATTTTTAATTTTATTTATCATATAAAAGGATCAGGTTTAGAAAAAAGAGAATTAGATGCTGAAGAGTTTGTAAACATATTAGATCAATTTAAATATAATGATACCAAATTTTTTTATTATATTGATATTAATGAAGATACAAAAAGATTAAAGGAGCAATATAGATGTTTTCTGAACAATGTTTTAATTATAGTAGATTCAATGATTTAATTGTTTATGATAATACTTACAAAACAAATCAGTTTAAAATGCCATTCAGTATTTTTGCTGGTGTAAATAATTATAGATATAGTATATGTTTTGCTAGAGAATTAATGATTAATGAAATAGAAGAAAATTTTTTATGGATTTTTACTAAATTTCTTGAAAAGATTAATCAACATGCATTTGCAGTTATTCTTACTGATGATGATCATGCAATGGCAAATGCTTATTCTAAAGTTTTACAATATTAGGTACAAAACATTGTTTATATCAATGGCACTTAATGAAAAATATAATAAAAAACTTAAAGCAAAGCTTAATACAAGCTGGTTTGCATTTATAAGAGATTTTTACAAATGTCTTAGAGAAATGGATATTTCTAGCTTTCTTTTCTAATAGAATACACTTACAATGTTTTATTCATTAGCAGTAACCTATTTATCTTACATGAAAAAATCAAAAGAAAAATAGGCAGCATGTTTTAATAATGATATATTTATGGCAAATATGACAACTACACAATGTGGCAAGTCAATGAATAATATGATAAAAGGTTATTTAGATGCAAATACTTTACTTACTATGTTTATAACTGCATTTCAATCAGCATTAGATACGCAAAATAAAAAAACAGAATTTTGAATATATCAACAAAATAATTTTAACATTATATATAAAACTACAAGTATTTTTGAATGTCAGATTGCTTCTATTTTAACTATTTATGCTTTTAAAAAAATTCAAGAACAATTAATGCAATCATTTATGTATAAATGTAAAGACATTTCAAGGTAATATATTTAGAATATTATATTATAATTTTTTCATTATTCAAAATTATTTACAGATAATTTTTTATTATAAATAAATAGTACTAAGTCAATTTTTAAAGTTCAAAAATATGAAACAGAAGCAAGTGAAAGAATTGTAGAATATAATGTTGAATCCAATTTTTTTATGTGTTCTTGCAAATATACTCAATTTTCAGGATTTATATATTAACATATTTTTCAAACTGCAATGCAATTAAACTTAGATGAGCTTCCAACTAATCTCTTTTATAACTGATGAAAAAAAGACCCAAGTAAAAAAGACATTAGTAATAATTATGTTGTATTTTCAACCTCAACTTTACAGCAATCAATATTTTCTAGCATTGTGTTAAAAGATAATTAGAATTATCAATATATGCTAACTCAGTTATTACAAAAAGTGCACCAATTTATGAAACAAAACCCTATAACAGTTGCAACTTTATATAATTCTTTCAATAAAATATTAGTCTCTGAAATTGAAAAAATTAACAAATCACAATCAAACAATTCAAAAATTATACCAACAATAAGAAATCTATTAATCATTCAAGAAAAAATGTGTCTATCCAATAAAAGAATTACAAGTACAATGGAATTAACTAGTAATAAAAAAAAAAAACTTAACAAAAACAAAGACAATACTAATGTGTCAAGATCACAAGATTCTATTAATATAAGCAATTATCAATCTAGCAATATTACATATAATATGAAACTATTAAATAAAACTCAAAATTCAGCAATATCTTCACAATTTTAAGAATCTAATTCTTTAGTTCAGTGCTTTGTTGAAACAAACTTTTCTTTTGATGAATTAAATTTAGGTAGGTTATTTTAAGTATATGCTAAAAAATAGTTTATCTAAACTTGTTTGGATATTATGATAATTTATCTAGAAAAGAATCAAAATAAAGATTTGCAATGTCTATATTGTGGTAAAACTTTACCCAATCTATTACTATTAAAAGTTTCTAAATATTTAAATCATATTGTAACAAAAAAAAGTCAAGTATTATTATATAAGATTATGCAAAATTTATTTTTTGGTTTTATAATCTGATTTAGTTTAATGTAAGTATTTATTTAATTTTAATAAAATTAAAATCTCAGATTATTGATTACTTTTTAAAAATTTATATTATAAAGCCAGGAAATTAATTTTAAAAAAAATCTAAATTTATACTTTTTTATTTATTATTAGAACCAGCACAGACTGCAGTTAAACAATATGAATTTTGTCAAGTTCATAGAAGAGAAGAAATAATTATTTCTTATGGGATTGAAAAAGAATATCCATTACATTTAGATTTTACAATACTACCTAATCGGGTTAGAAGTTTAAAAGATGAGCTGCTAAAAATTATAAAAGAACAACAGTATAGTGAATATCATGTAAATGCAGTTAAAAAAATTCAAGAAATGGGAGTGTCAAAAGCCAATAGCTCATTACTACAAATTAACTATTTCGAGTTATCTCAAGTAAGTTGAAAATTAAAATATCGAATTTTAAATACTTTGATAAAAAGTCAATATTAAATTATTATAAATTTAAATTTTATTTTTTAGCTTAGGTATTATGGAACCAAAGGTCTAGCCATTATTTTAGAAACTTTGACTGAAATGTTTGTTCAATCTAAAATTTTAACTATAAATCTTTGCACACCACAATCACTATCTCAATACTTGGCTTAAGTTCTGGTATCAAAAACTGCTATTAGACTTATTGTGGAGAACTTTAATAATATTTCTTTAGATACAGCAAAAAAAATTATAATTGATAGTATTGAATTTGAACTGTATGTTTATGATAATGATGATAACACTGAAAAATAATCAACATTTTAGTAAATAAATAATTATGAAATGAAACATTAAGCTTGATATAAAACTTCATAACATATTATATTTAATTTAATTAAAGTATATACAAGCACACCCTCTAAGTGCAAGTCTATGTAAAACCTCTCTAAATGCATGATACAGTTTGGCTCCAACTTATAAGAGCCTAATATAGTTTATCTTCCATAAGTGCAAACCCCATCTAAGTGCATTTTTTTCACTATAGTCCTGATAAGATGCACTTAGGAAGGTGCAACTGTATTTATTAATAAATACATTAAAATTCTAGTTAAAAAAATTGTATTTAATCTGATGATTGAATTTTTTTCTTCCTAATATATTTGATAAATTGTCTTAGCAACAAATTAGCTAACAGATAATGTAAAAATCATATTGCATATAAAGGCTTTGATTTTTATATTAAAATTTTACAAGATGAAAATGCAAAAAACATTATTGGACAAAAATATATTTGTCTATTACAACCTATATTTATTTGAATTCAACTTAAGTGAATTCTAAATCTACAACAATTCTATTCCAAAGTATATTAATAAATTAAAATTTTAAACATCCAAAATTCTAATACTTTAATATTTTAATAATTTAGACAATTTATTGATTTGGTAATTTTTATCTTAATAACACCTTATTTTAATACTTAGATATGATGTTGACTATTATATATAGTATTCGAGATCTTATTCAAGAATACTATCTTAATTAAATATATTAAAAAATAATAAATTAATATAGCTATATCTCTAGGTAATATATAAGAATTAGGATCATAATAATTATAGTATATGTAGTGAAGATGCAAACATTTATTGGTTCAAGGGTAGCAATCTTCTTTTGGTATATAAAGTTTAGGTAGCAATCTAGTCATGGTTGTACTATATGTTATTTCATGTTCTAATATCTGCACCTTTAATATGAGTTCTGCTAAGGGAAAAAGGCACATCTGTTTTTTAAGCATATTATTAATTATTTATCCTTCTGATAAATGACACATTGGGCCTTAAATTAGTTAATTATGATATACAATACAGCAACACAATACACAATTTTGGACTATGTAATTAAAAGCTTGAAGTGCTTCAATCAGAAGGGCTGAATCAGATAAATAATTAGTAATATATTTAAAAAACCAAATATGCTCTTTTTTTTGACAGCACTCATATGTAGTAACTACCAAAAATTGACAATCTAAACATTAGCCATTAGATAATTAATAAGGTTTTAATAGCCAATCCTTAATAATCAGAATTATGACTTCAGATACTTTTTCAGAATAAATATAATTAAAGTTAGTAGATAATAAATTTGAAAAAATAAACAAAGTAAATGTTATATGCTCAGAATTGCCATCAGGTTCTATTTTAAAATTGACAAAAGAAATTTTCTTCCATGAAGAATGTTCTAGTACACAATCTAAAATGCAATTCTACTTAATATCTAGATAACAAGCAAAGTCAGAAACCATGATATTCAATATTTGTAAAAATTTATAAGTGTTTGATAGTTCTTATCTAAAGAATTTAGTTTCTAGTAAAGCTATTGGAAACTGAAGAAGTAAACTATAAATTAATACTTAGCTTTAATTCTAGTTTTAAGCATACTTGTTATCCAAATCTAAATATCTCCAAAGAAATGATATATATCAATAATATTAGTTTGTCTAAAATTTGGAATTTGGACACAGACAATGAGATATAAACAAAATAAAAACTTTCAATGTCAATATAAAATGTCAAGTTAACATACGTCTCAAAAAGTAATTTTTTAACAACTTATGCAATGCTGACAATCTCTGTTTCAAATTCAACTCATTTATAATAGAGTATTACTATAAACAAAATGCATAAGTCTTTGATACTACATTATAATCTTGCAAAGTATGCTAGCCAAATATCTAACAAAACACAAAGTTCTATATCACCTAACTGTTTTTAGACCTGAAAATAACCTCAGTACAGTACTTTCATTAGTAGCATACAGAATTCAGAATGTTAAAAGGGTCATCAAAAAATTTTTTTATAGTTTGATGGCTTGTACATATGTGAACTAATCACATTTAGGAGGTACAGAATAAAGGCCTGTACCCTTCTGGTACAGGATAAAAGGCCTGTATCCTGGGTACAGAATAAGGATGCTCTTTTACTAATTTGATTTTGTACACTATTACAAAGCTTCTTTAGAACATATAACTAAACTGTCATACTAAGTTACACTTGCTACACTAGCTATACCTTATATTATATAGATTATATAAACTATTCTTAAGGTTGTACAGACTGCAGCAGTTATAGTAGCCACAGTATTACATCATACCTTTGTCAAGCTAACTCTCATTTTTATATAATCTATATATTAAAAACTTTAATAAGAAATAACAAAAAATTTACTAAATAAATTCAATTTTGGTTCTTAAGTATATCTGTAATATTTTTCTTTTTTTATCAAATGAGATGCTTATTCTAATTATTCAAAAGTCAGATCACTTTGATCTTAACTATTTCTATAACAAATACAGTGACTATTATAGTATAATAATTTAAGACATACAACCTATACAACTTAAAGTAATACCATTTGTATTTAACCTATCTGAACATAATATCTCTAAATTTCTTTACTATTTTAAAACTCTTATTTAACCTAATATTGTTTGCTGTTATTGCCAAAAATTTTATATGCTCTTTATTTTTAGTAATCTTAACATTTCATTTAAACAAGCAACCCTTCTTTTTCTTCTCAAAAATTCACATATATGAATATTAATATTATATCTAAACAAGTCAGACAACTTAAAAAAATTATCTTCCAATTACTAATTACAAAAAGAACTACTGTTTCTTTATTATTATTCTTTTGAATTATTCTACAAATTAACAAAGAACTTCATCTAGTTTAATACAAACTCACCAAATTCAAAAACATTCTTATATGCATATATCTGTATTATTTGTCTAAATAAAAACATCTTATATGCTTTTTTAAAAAATAATACATATTCACTTCTTGATAAATCTATTCTTATTATTAAAGAATTTCTAGCACATTTTAAATGTATTCACAAACTCAAACTTATTATTTAAGGGTAGAGGTGACATAGATTATTTGCTATATGATTTTCCTAGCAAATAAAATTTTATATATAAAAAAAAAATATATTACTAATAAAACTTTTCAGTATTATATATTTTTTTTTTTTTTAAATATTAATGGTGAGGCCATGCCTTTAACTTTATTGAAATTCAATTGAAGTTTTTACAAA